TTAAAAGCCCCTTCGATGTCAGCGAACACGCACACCGACAGCCGTCCCGAGCCCATACCCTCCTCCAACCTGGAAGTCAGATGGTGAAGAGCTGAGCCCACAGACCCTCACGTGACCTCACTAAGGCTTTCGACTGCGTTTCTCATGACCTGCTTCTGGAGAAGCTTAGCAGATATGGTGTCCATGGTCACCCTCAGGATCTTATCCGGTCACGTTTAACTAACAGAAGACAGTGTGTCGTCTTTAACAATAACATATCGGAGGTGAGGGTTGTGAGCAGTGGCGCGCCTCAGGGCTTCGTCTTGAGTCCGCTACTGTTCACTGTTTACATCAATGGCTTGTATCATTTTCTATTCCCCAACAAATGTACACTTTTTGAGGACGATACATCGTTTGTGACTTATGGCGATGACTCCAATGAAGTTATGAATAATGTTAATAATATTGAGCGGATGGCGGAACTTTGGTTCACCAACCTTAAACTAAACACAGATAAGACACAACGTCTTGTTTTCTCAACTAATAATAATCTACTTGAGGGCAAGAATGTAAGGCTCTTGGGAGTAACGCTTGACGGAATTTTAAATTGGGCCCCTCAGATTAACATCTTCTGTAAAAAACTTGCCTCTAATATTTTTAAAATCCGTAAGCTTAAAGGACTGGTTACATTGTGAGTTACCTATTTTTCTCTTTTTCACTCTCATCTAACTTACGGCATAGTTCTCTGGGGTAATTTTGCCACATCAGACCAGGCATTTTAACTCCAAAAGAAAGATGTGCGTTTGATTGCCGGTGCAGGTTATCTGGAGCACTGTTGATCAATTTTTAAGAAGTTGGAAATTATTAGAATTATTAGAAATAAACAAACACATAGACAGCTTCAATCAGAACTCCTCTTACCATGACTATTTAACTTCGTGCTTCAAGATTCAAATATACCAAAAAAAAATCACTAAACTTAAACTTGTACAATTAACTACCAGCTAATGTGCTTGCGTTCTCCGTGGCCGAATACTGCGCTCCAGTCTGGATCAATAGCTGTCACCCAGAAAACCGTCATTATATCTGGCTGAAGCACTCCAAAATGATGGCTATGATCCCAAAGACCAAAGGAAGCGCGACTGGAGTTCGAAAGCAAGTGATGTTCTTCAAAACTGGTTCGCAACTTATAATTGCAACGTCACGGGAACCGACCTAAACCGAAGGCAATGGTCGGTCCTGAATCGGGTACGCACCGGACATGGAAGGTGCGCGGACTCGTTACACCGATAGGGGAAAACAGCATCACCAGAATGTGACTCTGGAGCACCAAGACAGACCATCCAGCATATTCATAGCGAGTGTCCCTTACGCTTATACACGGGAAGCTGGCTTGACTTTATGGAGGTATCTGCATCGGCGTTGGAATGGATAACAAACCTTGACATTGAATTATAGCTTTTATCTTTTTACGTTTGTGTAATTATTCGTGATTGTTCTTAGAGCTGTACTTGTATTATACATTGCATGTAATGCCATACGCTAAATAAATAAATGTGAAAGTTCTAAGTAATAGAAAATTAAAAAAAAAAACATCTGTGATTGAAGTTAAAGAAGCCTCTGTGAACGGCGTGACTGTGCAATGACTTTCTATAATTTTGTTGTTGCTTTATTTTGTTTATTTGCGCAAACGTCTTGTTCTTATATATTATACACTGTTTTATATAATTTACACACTCTTTATATAATTTATTCATTGTCTTATTTTTTTATACATATTTTTTTACGTATTGTATTTATGACTTGCCATAATTGTATGAACAAATTCTATCAATATATTCTATTCTATTCTATTAAGCGTTCCACCGCAAAATACACTTCACTACAATCTTCCAATAGCAATTAGGCCGAAAGCAATAATACCCTTGCCTCTGTGGTCCTTCCTTACATTCAAGACATCACTGACCACATATGACATCTTCGATACGTCAAAGACAAAAAACACAAAAAACTAGGCTCAAAGAATATGAAAGAGCATTAAGAGTAAGACAAAACTCATAAGTACTTGCCCGAATACCATCACGAAACCGGACATAACATTTTATTCGATAAAACTAAAATTCTTGCAATTATTCTACCAACGAAAACTCCGAGTCTACAGAAATCTATAAGCAACCTAACAACCTTAACAGCGATTTAGGTCTTTACCTATCACCAATATGGGAATCAGTCATCCGAAAGAATGTTCACGCCCCTTTTTTAGCTCCGCCCCCCTCAAACAATATATAAGCGGGTACAGAGTTATCAGTTAAGCCCTGAAGGGGACAACAGCATGATTGGCGAGAAGTCAGCAAGTTTGAATTATATACAATCGACGTAGGAGAAATCAAGAAGATTTGTAAATAATATTGCAGGAGCCTATGGAAGTTTCTTTGAAAAAAAATTTCTTTCATGCCTGGCCTCACAGTATACGTAATTGTACAGTTGCAATTTTATCGTGCATAAACGATATCTACGCGATACGCAAATGTTTCTTTGCGAATTTGTTTTTGGATCGGCCACTTCACTACAAATTAAATAAACAACCTTTGTATTTGTTTGTGTTCACGGCACTTGCATAAAAAAAACAACTTTTCACTTGGTAACAATTTTGTCTCAACGAGATTTCTGCAATTTTTGTTTTAATATATCGTACATGATATTTTAATAAACAAACTGGAATTTTATGGTTTATTGGACTTAATGGCTTCCTATCTTTCGGATAGGTTTCAGCCCGAGAAGCTCTGTTGGACTAGCCGAGCAAAGTCCGAGAAATTGCATATTCCAACAAATTCCTAATAAATTCAAATGAAACCAATTAAAATTAATTAAATAAAAATTTAATTTAGACAAGAGAGTCCCAAAGTTTTAACCTGTTGGACCTGTTAGACACCTTCCTGTCATGGCTTCCGTGCAACGTACGAGGGTGGGGTGAAAAGTTTACCAAGAAAAACTATGTTTAAAACAAAATTTTTTTGGTTTATTTTTCAACGTAAACTCTATCAACACTGACACATTTCTCATAACGGTTTTCTCATTTGATTTGGTTATACCAGTTTTAAACATAAGTTCGTCAAGCTCCTCAAAATACTGGTTTACAGCTTCGATAACTAATAGTCGCTGGGGGCTAAGTCTGGAGAGTAGGGAGCTTGCGGCATCAATTCAAAAACTTCAATTCGTCGATTTTGGACATGGCAACAATCGACGAATGCGTTCGTGCATTATCGTGATGAAACAAATTTTTTTCGCTAAATTTGCGCAAAAGGTAATAACTCTGCGTAGTAGTGATAGTGTTACCCTTTTTATGGTAATCAATGTATATAATCCTCTAGCATTCCAAAAAACAGTAGCCATAACCTTGTTAACCGATACAATTGTTTTAGCCTTATTTGTAGTTGGCAACCTACCGTTTCGACTGTTCCTTATTTTCAGGAGTGTAGTGATGCACCCAAGTCTAATCAACAGTTATGAATCGACGCAAAAATTCGATTGGATTAAGCCGATAAAGCATCAAATTGTCGGTAGAAATGTTATTTCGAATCAGTTTTCAATATTTCGCACACGTTCAGCAAATTACATTTTATAAAAAATATGATGAAATATGTTCACGATTATCCAGTTAATCATCATTAGATTATTAATTGATCACCAGTGAGAACAAACAATACAAGACATAAAAAATCACAGTTAAAACAAAATGACCGTAACATACAAAATGTTCCCGGCGCATCCGCCAGTAGTTTGAAATATAATAACTATGATATTCATACGTGTAATGGTTAATTAAAATTATTAAATAATATTCCGAATTCTCATTATATGCCATTTGCATGCCTATAAAAAATACTTAAAATAATTCTTTGTGGAAAATATAAGGGCTACAAGCCGGGTGATCTGTATTGTCCGTTGCAGAATTCCTTTTGAAGTAAATAAAACGAAGAACATGTCGAACTTGATCAAAATCGCTAACTTACGAGAAATACCTTTGGGGTTTGATTGACTGTTGGTGGAAAATATTAAATAGCAAGAAAAACTTTAAAAATAGGAGCAGGGAAAGGCATAGTCGCTCGATGCAGAATTAGACATACACGAGGTCAAATAATTTTAAAAAATGGAACATTTAAAACATGATTCCAACGTGCAATGCACTTTTATTAGCGAATATCTTTAGGGTTGAGGTTATGTATGAAAGGTTTCTGTTTCGTAAAATGTTACTTTTCTCATTTTTTAAAATCAAGCACTAAGTTTTTTTTTCCCATTTTGGGATAGTCCTTTAAAATACGAATCCTAACAAATGGTTGGCATTTAAAATTTTTTGATAGTAGTGGTGAGCTATCATGTATAGCGAATAGCATTAACCAATAAATGATTTTGATATTTATTTGTTTTTCAGGATTTTCAATAAACCGTACGATCTTTAGAGGTAGAATTAAAACAAATCCAAAAATTTAAATACTTTATATTGGAATAGTTAGAACAATTACCGTAACTCAGTCCTAACGAATGTATGTACAATTCTAAGAGCTACACAATAAATTAACGAAGTAAAAAAACGGCGATTTAACCAGTCGGAAGAAAGTAAACAAAAATCAATATGATTTTACACTAAAAAACAGCTTGTAATATAAAATTTTCAGTCAAGGTGTCAATTGATATAACGTTTTACATATAGTGTCTTTTTTACGGGTATATCTATAGCCCTAACGGACAAATCGATAGAGTATCGAAACTTACAGATTGTGGAAACCAGTTCATTCTCACGTAGAACTTATCACAACGTTTAAGTAAGTATCTAGTGAATTTAAATTGTACAAAAACGTGGGCAAGCCGCCGAACGCATCCTAATGGTAAAACAAATCACATTTCTACAATACTTACGAGACGCGTTTACGATACGATAGACAATAAATTATTAATAATTAAAAAAAATCAGTCGTTATTTGTTTGGTTTTCGATAAGCACTAGAGAGAGGTATTTTTAGGAGAACGATCGGTTTTGTAGCTTTGGTCTGCCTTGTCGGTTGCCGCACGAATATCTACAGCCACTAAATGTACATTTATAATTTTAATCACCACATCGTACACGTATTTTTCATATTTCGAAGGAGCCACCACGACTTTGGTGTAATACAAAAATATCCATGCTCATATTTTATAAAAAGTAGCTCATTTATACAAACGAGTTCTCCAAATAATTAGAGACTATTTTAGAAATTCGTAGAGAAACAAATAAAAATTCTTCACCGTTTTTAAATTATTGCGGCAGAGAAAGACAGTAGCACAAAAGAAAAGAAAATCGTCCAGAAGTGTCAAAGCTGTTTGTGTTACTATTAGAGAAAAATTGCTACTATGGCGATCTACAAAAAGCAAGCTGCATTTTGAGAGAATATCAATTTAATTTGACGTGATTTACATGATTGATAAATATCCATCTCTACATTTTTCTTAATAACCTTTTCCGGTGTCTTTTAAAATAAAGGTACTCTCAATACTTTTATCAAATCCGTACTAAACTTGTATATTAAGCAATTCGAGATATTTTCTTAAAATCTCACTTTGAGGTCAAGCAGGGGAGATATTGCCAAACAATCAGAATCTAGAGTCAAAAATCATTATCTTGGATAATTGGGTTTGATAATGTTTAATTGTCTAATTTTTATTCCCATAAAATAGAATTCTTTTCTTTTACGAGTATTCTATTGCGACGAGAATACTTGACACACCATTTGGTGTGGTAGTTGTCATTTTGTAGTCCCTTTGTATACCTAATAAGGATTTATTATACCTTTCTGAAATGCACCAAGTATTCTGTAAGGCCGGACAGGTAAAAACATGTTCAGTTATAGGTTGCAGATAGAAATTTGAATCAGCTAACAGTAAAAGAACATTTATGACCATGGTTAGATTGATACCTTCAACATTTTCATTCACTTCACAGCCGACAAGATTATGACGTATAACAATACTTATACTTATTCGTAGATTTGAAAACTGAGCAAAGTAAATTTAGTTAGTGATTAAGCCATCCCAACCATATTATTTTTTCAAACTGTCAAATAAATGAAGCAAATATTTAGTAAAATCAGTAATATGAACACAGTAATAAACGGCCACAACAGTAATAGCAAATATTGCCTGGAGATGCTGTCGAATTAGATAAACACTAGTCATTTTGGCAAAGGACAATAAATCTTCATAAATAACTACTAAATATTTGTTTAATAGAAAGAATAAGTAGCTTCCTTTGTTAAAGTTTTTTTTTACATTTTAAGATGCTCAAAAGTCAGGTCGCTTCAGTTCTAGAAAGGGTAAAATATAGAGTGATTCGATATATTTTTCGTGACAAATAAAATTAAATAGTAAGAAGAGACCTTTTTGAGTTGTTACAATATTTAATAACTTAAAGCAAAAATTCTTCAGGGTAAAAGCAAAATACATATAAATATACATATAAAGAAGTGTATATTTTGGTTACAAATAAATGGGGAGTAAAGGTTTTACATGGAACTAAAATTAAGTCACCATTATAAAACAAAGATTGTTAGTTGAGAATTTAAGTGGATTTTATATTTTATATTATTATCTTGATGAGTTGTATACAAGGTGTGTTCAAAAAAAAGGTGACTTTGGTAATTGGGCGAGCTATTTCGATATTTTTTTTATATTGATATACATCGTAGCGTAGTACATTAAGAGTTCTTACTACAAGGTCATACGGTCAATAAAGAATATTACCTTTAAGTTATGCACCGCTTGCGAGAAACAATGCGAAGAAAACGTCCCGAATCGTTGGAGAATAATTCATTGTGCATGATGATAGTGCACAAGCCACAATCATGCGTCAGCCACCATATTCACCGGATATGGTCCCATGCGACTTTTTGCTGTTCCCAAAATTTAAGACAGAGAAAATAAAGAAAAAATGACTGGCAGAACTCAAGGCTATACTAGAAAGTGTTTAGCACAAGTGCTTCGAAAATTGGAAAAAACGTTGGCATAAGTGTATCATATCTGGAGGGGATTACTTCGAAGGAGACAAAATTAATTTCGATAATTAAATAAATAGTTCTTGATAAAACATAAAAGTACCCTTACTTTTTGAACAAACCTCGTATGTGAGAGGTGCCTTAATTTACTACAGCGGATTCGACGATAAGGACCATTAGTAATTTAGTATAGTTCTTTTGAAATCGATATATTTTGTGACACTTAAGAGATGGCTTTATGGTCCAGCCGTTTTTTGTAATTTCTAGTTTAATTTTGATATTTGTGGACTGATACATTCTGCTAAGCCTAGAGATAATTTTAATATGTTCCTGTAGAGTTTTACGCAAAGAATTGTTTCAAAATGACGTGCATTTTAGCCGTCCGTAGTAGAAAAAAACGTTTTGCCTAAATGATGGCGGCTGCGCCCCGTACATTTTGAACTTTTGAAAATAAGTTGCAAAAAAAAAATTTTCGCTAATTGAAATTCCGCTGCATATATCGTTTACGTCACCTTCGAATAACGTCAAATGTCAAACCTTGAAAAATAATGATTTTATCAAAACATTATTTGTCATAGAGAGTCAGTGGCACGGATAGATACCGTCGTGGGATCAGGCCCATTTCTTATAAGCTTATGTGCCTCGTGGAGGGCTAAAAAGGCGGCAAATTTTAATTTTGTACCTACAACGGTTCGAAAGTTATTCACGAAAAACTAAAAGACGAGAACAGAGAAGGGACAGACATTTACCGATTTTCGAAAGTAAACAGAAGAAATAAAATTTAATAGTTTATTAAAGCATATTAAATTGTCTTTCAAACAGCTTTTTTATCCGATCAGTAGTTTCTTAAAAAAAAAGATATTTTAGTCAAAAGTTGACGCAAGTTTATTTTACCAATAATGAACGTTTAGACTCTTATTATTGTTTTAGGTTGTTGTTTCATTAATATTGTAATCTTCGGTAAGCTATATTAGTTTGCATTTTGTCTAAATCTTTCGCAATAATTTAAAATATCTTAATAAAGACTATTATTAATATTATTATTGTTACTATTACGGGAGCTTGTGGAAGCGTCATTCAAATATCAGCCGACGTTTCGGCCTCAATACCGTTCCACGTCATCGGTGGCACTTTCACCTGCAAATCGACACCGCGCAGACCAAAGCCTCAACTCCATCTGCTATTCGTCGCTCGAGATCTGCGTGCTGGCGCTAGAAAACGAGCCCCTAGCGTCGCCGAGGCAACTATCGGGCACAGTTATGAAACTACACTTTTTGTAGCTCGCCCAACCAGACCCGACCCGCTTCAGGATGCTTTTACTCTCGTTCTCCACCTTACACGTGACTATCACTTCCGGCACGAGTCGATTCTGCGACAGCAACGGTTCGGAGTTCCCCGCGACCTCCCCGAAACTCCTGTTGCGCAGAATCGTCGCCTGACGGTCGTGATTTTCCGCTTCGGGTGCTTTTTGAGTCGCGAAAATCCGCGCGATTTCCCTCTTGACGCGCTTATTCCTATAACCGAACAAAAACGGCGACATTACGTTCGAAAAAACCAACAACACCAACGACAGGTAATTGAATATTTGACCGGGGCTAATCTCGATGCATCCCGACGTCAGCACCAGAGTCAAACCGTACGGCACGTAACATACCAGCACCATGAATATCACGAGGATGCTGATTTTCGCCGCCCTAGTTTCTTCTCTGTACCTGAACACGGAAGCGTTCGACAGCTTGTGCTTTAAGTTGGTGATGAAACTGTTCCGGTCTCTCGTCTCGTCCGAGCAGACCTCTCGACAGTTCAAGTGGGTGAAGTTTGGCGCGGAATGCACCTTCGGCAACCCACGAAACTTCTTGCCTTCCGGAGGCACCTGGATCGAGTCCAAGGGCGACGCCGCTGATGTACTCTTGCGCATGCGCTCGCTGCTTTGATGAGCCGCCGTGTAAATGCACAAGTAGATGATGCAGATGGCCACGAATGGGGCGAGTATGACGAAGAAGAAATAGCCGAACGCGTAAATCGTGTTGAGGGTCCTGGTGGAGGCGTCCTCGTCGCTTCTCTTCCCGCAAAAGTGCCACAGACTCCCGTCGGAGTACGTGACGGTGCTCAGCACAGCGCAGAGGAGCGCCGCGAGCCAGCTACTCGCGATCAACACGTTCGACCTGCCCTTGTTCACGTAGAAGTGGTACCGCAACGAATGGATGACGCCAATGTACTGGTTGATCCCTATCAGAAGTATGCTGAAGATGGACGCGGTGCACACGAAGCTGGTGCTAGCCTGCGCGAAGTAGCAGAGCAGATCGTGATCGTCGGAGCGGTTGGAGAATATGAACCCCTGCAGGTTTTCGGTGACGAGCTTCTCGCTGGTCTCGACTATCCGCAAGTCTTTGCCCGGGCTAATTATCTCCTCCTTGATGACGACGTCCTCCTCGAAGGTCTTGTTGATGTGCACGGACATCGTGGAATTGAAGCTGGCCGGTAGGGACTTCTGGTCCACCAACAAAAGGGGAATGAGGAGCAGACTTGACAGGAGGTTCGTGATCAGCAGGTTGATGATAAATCTGGAAAGAAGATGTAAGTGGAAATTCCCATTTGTTTGGTTTAACGCATCTGCATTTGCCGAAGTGTTCGCGGTATTATAAGATTAGTAATAAAATGATGACGTTGCAAATTTGTCAAAGAAACTTCCACAGGTTGCCATAAAACTATTTACAAATCTTCCGGATTCCTCGTGTTTAACTCATACTTTGCTCTGTACCTGCTCATATACTGTTAAAGGGGGCGGGGCTAAACGACGGATGACTGATTGAACAATTTTAATTTTATCGAGTCAACAAGTCAACGCATGTTGAATAAGCATCCAACAATTAGAGTGTTCTTTAGTATTAGTTTGTGCCTTATGCAGTGAATGTTACAGTTCGTAAAATATTGCATTTCCGAGGTATTTGACCAAAAGAAATTAGGAGCGGCTATGGAGGAGATAGTGATGGATGAGGACAATAACAATGAAAGTTGTAAGTGTTATTTGGGTTTACGTATATTGTAGCATTCCATTCCTTGTAAATGTATGCTAAAAATAACGTGAAAAAATATTTACAGAACATATTGACGCGGTCCATATTCCACCTTGACTGACGAAGAAGATATGGACGATAACATAAATCTATAAGAGTTTGGGGAACCAACTGATACATACACCGGGTTACATACACCGAATGATACAGCTGTTCTTCAACAGCCCTGTAATTCATCAACTACTAAACCTGAATGGAACTCATCAGATGATGAAACCTTGGAATTCAAAAGAAGACGTATGCTTTCTGCAAACGATAAGCTTGCTTCTACTGTCAAATGGAAGGGAGGTCAGATTGAGTGCACTCACATACCTATATCCGATGAATTTAGATCATGTGAGGAACTACAAAAATAGGCTTTCCGGAAAAACTCCGCTTGAAATATTTTTCATGCTTTTTGATGACGAAGTGATTGATTTGATTTTAAATCTTACATTGCTTTGCGCCTTTTAAAAACTGATAAAACAATTACTCAAAGAAATCTTGCACCTGCTATATATGAAGTGCGTTATGATAGTCAAGGTCACCTCATGATTGTTCATGCTAATAAAGCCCGAAGGAGATGTAGAATCTGTCACACAATTTACGTTTGTAATAAGTGCAATGTGCATTTACATACTTCATCCTTTGTAAAATATCACCAAAAATAAAACCGGGTGTTACCAGTGGTGCGCTCACGCACTATAAAATATTATGCGTTTTTTTGTATCAAATCAGGTTCTATTTGGAAAACAAGTTTTTATTATTATTTTTTTGAGACATATAATGTATTCTTAAGTGCAACAAAATAAATAATTTCAGAGCAAAAAAGTATTGTCTACGCTACTGTCTCCTCCTTGTTCAAATATTTTCTTCTTTTAATACTCGTTTTTCACAGCTAGACCAGCTTTGTACTGATATTTTAGCTACCGGTAATTTTTGGGCCATCCTGTAGTCCCTGTTATTCTCTAAAACTTTTCTGAAATAAATTTTAAACAAAACAAAAGAGTCAAAAGAGTTGCTACTGCAATTATACGAACCTGTCGGTTAAAGTATGTTTGCTTTTCGCAAAATGTTATACTAGTCCCTTAAGTGCCTTCAAAAGAATAGCAGCGTGCAGATATGAACCAGACATTATATTTCGTTTTAGCCCAGTTTAGCCCAGAAGAAGTATTAGATTCTACTGATGAGACACCAGCACATGAAGGAGGAAACCAAATACAACACGTAACTAAGAAGAATGTTAGTAAAAGACGGCATTTTAAGAAGGTACATTGCACCAGGCAACCAATCAAAAGCAATCTCAGAGCTTTCATTTGTAGCTACCATTAGTGGTTACTTGGGGGAAAGAACGAGGGATAAAAATTATATAAAAATTTGTTTTTAATGTAAAAAAATTGTATAACCATGTATAATATCTTCCTTTTTTAAATATTGTAATTTTTATTCATTGGGATTACCACCATAAAATTCAAATGTAAACTTTTCGATTTGTTTTCTATGAATCACGTTTCGAGCAGTCGGAACATGTTAACACCCGTCCCACTATTGTGGGAAGTGTCGAGCTGTTTTATAAATACCCGCGATCTTCAGCTGTACACCCGAAGCTCATTTCTAACTGCTTGGGTTGTCAGCTCGATTGTGCGTTAATATCATGGGAAGACCATAAAATATTTAGGCGTGTAACGAGAACGAATTTATTTATTTAATTCAAACTCAATATTTATAAGAAATTCGGTGTGTATACAGTACGTCTAGGTTTCGTTTTGCTGCGAGATATATAGTATTACTAGGATTACAAGTATACTCACACACTGATTTTGCAACAGCAATAAGAAAGGCACCCTAAAAAAGTCCAACAGTACTGGGTCAACGAAGTTCATTATCTGATCGGCTTGAAAAGTTATGAGAAAATGGTAAATACGAAAGTTATAAAGATTGCTGGAAGGCACAAATTAAAGTTATTTTATTTATGCTAATGGTTTTTCCAATATTTTAAACTTTCTAAAAAATAATAGTTTTCAAACTTATTATTTTTGAAGATAGATATTTGATATTAACGACATTCGAAGACGGCGTTGAAATGAATTAGATACTACAGGTGTTCAAAGTACACTCATATATATCATTTTATCATTCATTTTATATTGAAAAATCTCGTTTTTTTAAAGATTTTATTTTATTAACCAATTTTTACCCTTGCTTCTGTCGAAAAGAATTGGTAAAAATTTTTATAGGACAATTGAGTAAATAAATTCATAATATTTGCTGTGGTGTCAATACATTGAAAAAAAGTAAGTATGGATTTTTATAAAGATGAATTAATTGATGATTTATATATTGGCAGTAAGACTTTACAAGGCGAAGAACGCTAATAGACGTATACTAATTTGACAATCTCTTCAGTAGTGGATAAATATTGAAAAAATTAAAATAAATCGCAAAGTACTTAGTAAAAGTTCTAGGTGTTCAAAACCTTTCAGAAAAAATAATAATAGTCACCGTGTATACTTTAAAATAATTTTAAATTGTGTACCCTTACAACCTTTACATGTTTTGTATTTACTAGTTTCCTCAAATCATTGAAAAACCATGAGAAAATGAATTTTATCGTTGAACCACCCTGTACAAGGCACATAAACTAATATTAAATAAGGCAATACTAATAAATACTAATCTCATGACACTTCAATGATAGTGTGAATTCTCATTGTAAGAATGAAAGTGTCTTTGTCACTTGGAATTCCGGTACAACGAATTTCAAACTGTTGCACAGTGGTCTCGTCTTATGGGGCATGCGGTCATGAAATTCTCACGCTAATGGGGTATTTTTAATATGGGATTTTTGTGCATATTTCAACTTTTCCAAGACAAATACATATTTTTAAACTTTAATATAAATAAAAAAACTATTTATTTTTAAAAAGCGAAATTTTATTAACAGCAGGAAACATACCTTCAAAAAAAAATTCACATTAGTTTTAATAAAACTAAAGTAATATGGTACAATTAAGTCTAAAGAATCATTATAAATGTTTCCTGAATCTTCATTATGTCTACGCCTATGGCTAATTACTCCCGAATTAAAATTAAATAGAATTTATAATTTTATAAAATCATTTATGCCTGCTAATTTCAGAAGTAAAATTAACTATAAAAAGATCTTTTATAATGAGTTGTCATGTTGCTTGATTTAACTGTTATTCTAATTTTGATAAATCAAAAACTTCAGGTAATAAAATGGACTTACTGCTTGTAGGAAATTTTTTTAAACTAGAAATAAAAGGGTCGGAATTTAAAAGCATTCGATGAAGAAGAAGTGTTTGTAAGAACACGAGACGTTTTTCTTGTATTTTCACGTCTAAATAACTTTTTATTTGAAGATGCTGCAGCTTCTTCCTAAAGTTCCGCTATCGATAGAAGTGCACGGAGGCAGGTAGGTAATACCACGGATAATTTTTTAGAACGTCTGTTGCTGTTTCTAAAGCGTAATTCTGATATTTTATACAGTTAATCTTATAGCCAGAGCCCAAAAACCAGTTATTTCAGCTGAAACTTCATAAATTGTAAAAAATCTTCTTGCAGTTATTACCCTCGTTTGATGTCCCACTTGCTTCTCAGTTTATCAATAATTCAGCCTAACTTTTCCCTTTCCCTTTCTGCCTCGGGATATACAGTTACATTGTAGTCGCTAGATATATAATGCACTATAACAAAAACAATGATATAAATATTATTTTTTATCAAAACGTTACGCTGATTGCTATTGGAAAATACGTGCATTTAAAGCTAACCATGAAGGGATAAGAATATAACTGTTTTTGACACATCCGGCGACATTTGGCAAAATCGCATCTTACTCGGTTTTAAAGTAGAGGTAAAGCATTTGAAAGTTTACATGTAGTAACGTGGGCCATTAATAATTCTAAATATTAAAAATTGCTGAGTCGAAATTGCTGACGTTTCGCCAATCATCCTGATAGCTTCTTCAGAGGAGGCTGATTGGCGAAACGTCAGCAATTTCGACTCAACAAAAACCGACGCAGGAGGAATCCAGAAGTTTTGTAAAAAGTATTACAGTACCCTGTGGGAGTTTCTTTGAAAAATCTGAACTTTTAGTTCTTATTTATTTTGATAAATCGATTTTCATCAAGTAAAAGGCAGTTCAATTTTTAAAACTTTTATTGCGTTTAAATTAATATTTGGTCCTCTCGAGAGGTTAGGTTTACAAAGAAAAAAGTGGTGACATGGTGGTGACTCGGGAAATGTATTTGCTGCCAATATGCAAGCAAAAAGTTACTTTTATTTTATTTAAGTGAATTGAAGAAGAAAGAATTGAATTACCATACTCGAATTGGCTATAAACCATAAAATTACGGCTGATAGAAATTGTGTTTAAATAATTTTTTAAATTTTAAAGGTTCATGTAAAATTTTACCTGTTTGGTACAGTCCTCAGCCCTCTCCTCCTTGCGAACACCAGTAGCAAGAAGGCATTGGCCGTGACGGCGATAACAGATGACGTCACCAAAGCTACAGTAACTAACCAATGGTAATCGGACTCCATCTGTTGCCTGCAATAATAGAAAAATGATTGTTTAACCCGTTATACAAAAATTATACATCGATTATCTTATTATTTTATTTATTTATTATTTTTAACGTTCTTGGTCTCCAGGTACAATTTCTTTAATTTCAATAAATTTCCGATTGTCAATTGCCATTACGTGTCTTAATTTTCGCATAAATAGAGATGCTACTAAGTCTGGTAAAAAAATGGCTAGACTGTAGGCTACTGCCATCACTAGAGTTCGGATTTTTATGCACGGAAAATGCTTAAAATATGCCCATAAATATGTCTGGTTTTTCCAAAAAATATGTCAAACGTTTTTATACCATCAATGTACGTTTATGTTCTTTATTTTTTACACATATTGTTTACTGAGAATCAAGGAAACAATAGTCAAACAACGAAAAAAATTACAACATTATATTTACAGTTTTTAAACATAACAATAATAATACTTAATTAAGCGTATTAGTGATTAATAATTAGTGATTTATATCTATACACTTATGCCTAACCTATATTAAAGCATTACGGTAAAAACTATTTAGTTTTACAATCAGACCTGTTACTATTATGGTACCAATTGGCAATTAAGCGCTGTTCTAAATTTTTTATGCTTAATTTTTGTCTTTTATCGCTTAATATGCTTTCGTACTTGGAGAACGTCCTTTCGACGACCGAAGTAAGTGGCGCGAATTTAAATGATGCAAGATGTTCTGGTTCCAAATAATGTAAATCATTATCAATTGTCGCATCTAATGATCAAATTTTTGAAATTTTAAGGAACTTTAGAAACCCTTCATTTTTTGTGTTACATATTCAATTTATCAAGAAAATGGACTCTAACAAAGACATTTGTTCGGTCTCTAATTTGTTAATAAAGCCACTTAAAAAACTAAAATTTGCTTTGATATATGTCATCTGATCTATAAGTTCACATTTTTCATATAAATTTTTAGTTATTTTAATTGAATGAGCCGAATATGAAAAGTCTAACACAAGGTTTTTTATTCGCTTAAAGTGATTCGGGTTAAATAAGGCAGCGTCTAACCACATTACGGGTTCAGGAGGTAAGGGAAAAAAATAAGCAATGTTTCTAGTAGTTGGTAGTATATCTAGAGCAAAAAAAGCCATTAAGTTTTCATTTACAAATCGAACAATCTCTGTACTGTTATTTTTTCCCACTGTTGTGTACTTATTAAAAATATATTAAATTACATATTTCAAATTAATTAATGAGAACTTACCACTTTTCCACAAGCCTTGCAGAATATTTCTTATTTTTCCAAAGATAGCTCTGGATGATTTTTAATCCATACAGGCACTAAATGATAATTCACTGTCGGAATTTTGAATTCAATGATAGTTCACTCTCGGACAGCAAATAAAATGTTTAAAATGCTTGGAAAATTTCAAAAGTACATATGAATAGGGTGGGATGTATTTCATTCAATCAAATCATCAGTGATAATTTTCAGGAGAGGTTGTTAAAATCACATTAGGTAAAAGCATCAAACTAGAAAAGGGACGAGGGCTTAATCCTTAGGTAACGGAATTTCAAGGCTACAAATAGAAAGTCCACAATATTACGGATACATTTCAATCTTAATCTTATTCAGGACAGGACAATTTATTTATTTTTTGTATATTCTGTCAAAATGTATTTTAGTTCAAGTTAGCAATAATTATATTCCAAAATTCTATTTTTCTTTACCATGTTCTAGAATAGTCTTTCCAAATAAAAATCACAATTACTCAGAATTAAGTTTTTTGGACCCTCATTTTTTCTCCCCTGTACTCTTCAAGTATTTCTTGATACATCCTGAGGCCTAAAAAGGTCATAAGGAGTGCTCTGGTCGTACTGTGCCCGGGCAGGCAGACAAAATGATCAAATCAGCAACATGATTATTAAGTTACATAATCCGATATTTTAGACATTACGCAGAGTAAGCTAATAGGGCCAAAACGTGAGATTTCGGGTGGTGAAATATCTTAAACAAAGGTACTATATTAGCCCCCTTCCACAATGAGGGACATATGCAGGTAATAATACATTGGTTAATAATAAACGTCACCAATGGAGTCAGATGGGGAGTAATTTTTAATATCTTTAATAGCCTGCTATTCACCAGCTAGAGGCGGAACACTTTCTGTGTGAAAATGTGAAATGAACAACCCTAAACGTTTTATTTGCTCATTTTGTCCGTTTTTCTACCAAAAACTATTGCTGCAGTTTTGAGCTTGAGTCAAGCAATAGTCGTTTTAATTAGCGCGTCTAGTTGGGATTTTCGCGGAAACCACAAAAAGTCAATTCTTTTCGTTTAGAGGTTACGCAACAGCATTAATAATAATTAGAACTGGTTCGCCGGTATTTAATTAATCGGCGAAAAAAAAAACAAGCAAGGTAACTTTTGAAACGACTCCTGCTCCGAAACAACGTCCGTAATTGCCGGTCTAAATTACTTTTCGTGGAAACGACTTTTTTTTTATATTATTCACATTAAACGATTGTTCGTGAACAAATCGACACCACAATTACACCGCAAAATAAATGATACAATCCACAACGGCTTGAGATAAAAATATACAATTTGGTTAGTTGATATGGCTGAATATTGTGAACAATTGTGGCATAAAAACAATTAATTGTTTTTTTTTTTAATTTTTGAACTCGCTAAACAATTCTAAATAACTTTTGTCAAATCTACCCCTCCTCTAAAATCAATAGGTGAACTTCTATCAAGATGTAAGTATCTTTTTCTGTAAAAATTTTTTTCTGTAAAATACCCAATTACAAACCGATCTAGCGTGCGGGAAACGTCATTTTGCCACGTGACTTTCTTTTCCCACAGATCCGAGCCACTTCGGACATTTTCGGGAAATTACCGCACCGGTTTGGGAGCAATCGGATGTTTTCGGAGATTTTACCGCACGGCTTGAATTTTGACGTTCGTCAATTCTGACGATCATGTCAGTGAATGAATTCGTGTTGTTTTGCAAAAATGTGCTCAAAAACTAACGGTCGTAGAGAAAGCATAGTGTACAACGCATTTGGCAAACATTTTAAGTCACTCGTTTATTAAACACTCGCTCCGCTCGTGCGAAATAAACTCGTGACTCTAATGCCGTTTACCGCACTTGTATAATAGACTATAACATATGGTGAAACTAAATTGTTGGTTGGTAACTATATTAGTTATTAGAATTTATATTGGTTGAAGCGGTTTATACAGCGTGTCCAAATAATGTGTCAATGTAATATATCTCGTCTTTTATTTGTTTTAGAAAAAAATGTTAAATGAAACTAAAAGAAACAATTTAAAATTATTTTCGTAAATATGTTGAAAACCAAACTTATAAATGTTACCATTCATGTGTTTAATACCCTATATTCTCCAAAGGGAAGGATCTATTAATGCAATAATATACAGGGTGTTTCGTTTAAAAACCAACATAACTTTGTTTCTTGATGTTTCTTTAGAGATATATTACTTATTACCCAGTATAAGTATTGGGATACTTAAATCGTCGTTTCTTTTGTTTTGAATCCATAGCTAACGTACGTTTTCGCCTGAAGTAGCCATCTTCAGGTTATAAAAACTATAATAATAAATAATAATGAAAATTAATTTAATAAAAAAAGGACAGCAGCATCGCTCTTGTTATTTATAAAGTGAAGATGAAAAACAGAAAAACTTTCTGACAAATTCAAAAATGTTTTAATGTACAGGGTGTACCATTCAAAATTAGAAATTTTAAAAGTGTAAGTGAACATAAACAATTATTTTTTACCGGTGTCATATCGTAATAAATATTCCAGTCCGTGTATATCAAAGTGTGTTAAAAATATACCTGTCAACTGGGCTGCCAAAGGTGTATCAATATTTAGAAGCTCAGCGCACGCATAAATCAATCAGCCGTCGAGCTTTGTTCTCTTTAAAATTTACATGATCGGCCATCAAAACATCCTGTTTCGCGTCGCAACGTTTTTAGTTATGGCCGATTATTTTTAAATACGACCCCAAGGACTTCCATGTATGTTTGTGTTGCAGTGGAAGCGGACGCACTTAGTTATTAGAAAAGAAGCCAAGGATTGTGTATTAACATGTTGAGTGACCTTTGTAAATCATGTTCACCCTTTGTTCGCGTTTGCTGTCTGTCGATAAGTTTAAATTACCCTCATTAACAAGTCAATACATACACAAAACATATTTTAGGTGATGGTTCTAGTTTCAAAGATCTGTGGGTTACGATTTATGTTGTGGTTGCACTGGGTTCATGCCTTCACTTTTCTAACCATATTGATAATGCAGTTAACAAAGCTTTCCAGATGACTCCTTCCATTAGAGGAAACACCCATGACTTTCCCACTGTACATTCATTTGAAAATTTTGAATTGCTCTCTTGTGCTTTGGCGTCTGGTTTTACATCATTATCCATTGAAAAGCTACCTGATAAAACTAATAATATATCATCGTCGAAGGTTTTAAAGCAGCTCCTGGTTGTCATTATCCAATTCGTAGTACATTATATGTCTGGGTGACAGATATGCTCGAATTGAATTCTTGAAGAACTGCACGGTATATTGGGGAACCTTCTAGAATATCAGAAACCAGGCTTTATTTAATAGATTTGGTACTTTGAAATATTACTTACAAAACAATCTGGATTTAGAAAAGATTATAGTTGTGAAAGTGTTTTGATCGATATTACTGCAGCCATCGGATCAATTATAAATTGCTTATTTCAATTTTACACTACATTAGTGAAGTGCACGCGTGTTTGTAAATTCTTTTTCATCCGATAGAGTTCAACAGACGTTCTGTAACATAATGTATTCCGAACCACTCTTCGTTGAGTGAGTGTACCACAAGGTAGCATATTGGGTCCCTTCTTTTATACAATCTATCCGTTTAATTTCGCAAAGGCTTTAAAATATTGTAATTATCACCTATATGCTGACGATACTCAAATTTCCTTTTCAGTCTAGCCTAAAATTAACAC